CCTGTCCAGAGGGTTTCAAGATGTTAACTCTGGCTGCTGGTGGTCAGGCACGGGCACAACTCGCAATGGCTTGTGTCCTCTAGATATAGTGCAAATTCTGAAGACTTCCAGCCCTCCTTATGCATTGATCAGTCAGTTGCATCTACATCACAAACATCAATACCTCATCCAATAAACAAAGAGAGGCAGTTAGTTTTGTTAGCCTTGGGTCAGGCAGAAGGCAGGGTAGAGATGCACCTTATGGACTAACTAAGTTAAGAGATGCATAGGCTTTCATGAGCCTGAGATCACTTCATTAAATGCTGTGAAAGGACACTCACAGAGCAGTCGGAGAGAGGGTGATTTGAATACAAAAGGCAGGGAAGGGAGGGTGCAGTGCCGGGAGAGGCTAACGAGTAATAAATCTGTAAGACAAAGAGGTGACAGAAGTTAATCCAGGTATCGAGGATAAAAATCCTTGTGTAGACCATATTTTACACAGTCTGTAGGCGATTTTCTTCCTCCACAATTGTGCCTGGAAGTTGGCTTTTAAAGTCTCGTTGTTTAAGAACAGCCACTGTAAGGGCAGCGATGAAATGTCCGAAGTCCAGAAGTTCTGCCACAGGCTTTTGTGTGTTTTTGGACTGGATCAGTACAGGTGACATCGCTGGACCGAATCATATGGATTATAACATCCACGGTTCATTCGCCTGCACCTCTACCAATATCATGCATGCCATCACCTGCTTACAGTGCTTTCTGCTGTCTACATTGGACAGACTGGGGCAATCACTCTGCGAAAGAATCGGGGTTCCTAATCTGACATCAAGTCCAAAAATGCACATCCTTTCCCAGCATCTGATGAAATGAGCTCCAGCTCACACAAGCTGACGCATCTCTGATTTATTTAAAAGGTGCATTTCTACCCTGCCTTTCACCTCTACCAAGCTACTCTCATCCGCAGACCTTCAGCCATTATCAGGTGTGCTCCAGACTCTTCGGCACCACCTTTGTTAAGGTTATTTGATAAGGAACGTTAACCCTCTGCTATCTGCCAGGTTTACTTCATGGTGGTCTGGGGTCATCATCTGGTGAGGCCTGCTTTGGTCAGTGCTGTCAGCAAAAAGGTTATGCCAGTAGTGTATCCATTCGTCAGGGCTTATACTAATTAGTAAATCCAGCAAGGCCTACACTTGGTAGAAGGAGAAATTAGCTGAATGAGAATCTGGCAGCAGACTCAACAGCAGGCAGTGACTGCTCCGCATCGCTGGAGCACAAAGCAACCGTAGAGTTTTTCTGAATCTGGCCCTTGTTTGGTCTCTCTGCATTGTCGAACCTGATCCCTCTGATTAGTTAAAGGCTTTAAAGAACAATCGTATCCATCCATCCGTGCATTCATTCCCCTCTGCCTTTCTTACAATACAAGCAAACTCTCTGAATTAAATGGGTGCTTAACCTTTTTAGCTTTGCGTCTATTGGGATGTGTATGACAGTACTGTGAAGAGAGCCATTGTGGTAATGGTCACTAATAAAGCCATATTCCACTGGCTGTGGGTGGTTTCAAGTCCACTGTACTCAGTGGGTTGTACCTACTTAGGCTGGGGTGGATCAGCCCCATATACATGCTAAACCTTTCATCCTTGGCTCTTTGGGAGGAGCTGGCTTGATTATTTCCTTGCCATTTTACAAAGTTGGAATTTGTTAACTTCGGAGAGCTACAGTGCCTGCTGCAGATAACATGGGAAATTTATGGCAGGGCTTCCCACCCCTTTACCTCCCACTCTGCCTGTCGGACTGTCAAAAACCATGTTGAATCAGCAAAGTCCTGAGAGCCATCTTTTATGATCTTGGCTCATTTTTGGATGCCCTCTTCCTTTTCTTTCAGACTGTTGGCCTCTTATTAATTAAATGGCAATTCCTACAGCCAGGAATTGAATTTGACTCTAATTAATTATGCAGCTTAGCTTTCTTGATCAGTAAGTACTGCTGCTTCAGCTCTGTTTAGTTTTCTCTCCATCTCCCATCACTACAATAGCCTTCCCCACACCCTTGTTCTGTTCAAAGGAAAGATATTGCAGCATTATCTTGTTTTCGAAACAGGGGGTTTGTTTCCTGCAGCAGCATTAAACTGCCGGACAGTTGTAAGAAGACTAGATGCTGAAAGAGAATGAAATGGCTTATCCCCAAGAGCTTCCCTTGCCCTGAAGGAGCTGTATAACACACAGACAAAGCGGGAGCTACTTTTTATAACAAAAGAGGCCATCCTGCAGATAGCACGTGTCCGTGTTGATAGGCACTGTCTGAAAGAGTTCCCAAGGGAAGGGAAAAGGGCATACCGTGTCTGTAGAAAAGCCAGGTCAGTTCTGCTGAGACTTCAGCTGTCTCCTTCAGGCAAATTCCTTAATTTCTTATACTGAGGAAAATATAAGTGGTGAAGAGGGTTTTTTATAAGCATGTGATGTAACCACATAGGCAAATGAATAGAAGCTGTTTCCTGGTTAGCATCAGTTATATGAAGCAAGTATTATTCTTTCACATGGAGTACTGTTCTCCCTGAACGCTGTTGTGCGACTGACGTAGCATTTTATACCATCGGTGAAAAATGCTGTAGTGCTGTTCCTGGAAAATGGGATCATGACACTTTGCAAAGTGCTTTGCAGTCTACTGATGAACTGCTCAGAGAGCTAGGTGGCAATATTAAAATGATAATTTTGCCATTTAAACAAAGACTGTGTTGTGCTACATGTTAGTCCAGTGCCTCGCACACAAGTGGTGTGTAACTTGTTACCTGGGACCTAAACTATATGCACACCTGGCACCCTCTGGTCAATAAAAAAGTAATCAGAGCAGAGTATAGTGAACCCCCTAGCATGTGTCCTTGCATGGAAGTTCCCCTTCTGCAGCTGCAGTTGCGAGTGCTTGCCCCAGGAGTCGCCTGGAGGGGAGTCCTATGGTGCACATATCGCATTGCTGTGCCCCAACAGGGATTCCCCTGCTTGAGATGCACCCCCAGGTCTTGGCTGAGGGGAGGAGGAGGGCAACATCCAGGGCCATTGTCTTGCAGGAACAGACCTGTGAAGCCCTAGCAGTAGCAGCGGCCTGGCCCCCTGGGACAGCAGCCCCTGTGATGTCTGCAGACACCAGTGAGGTGGATCAGCTGTGCTGGGACGCATCCCAGGACAGCTGATCCCATTCCAAAGATACTTGTGTATAACATTAGAGTCAAATTTCCAATAGACCAGCAAGGAAGCAGGTCTTAAAAGTGGGAGCTCTGGACTAAGATTAGCCTCCTTCCGCCAGCTTTGGAAAGGTTTTGATTTTGGGATGGTATATAATATTCAACTTTGTCCCAACTGGGAGTCCAGTCCAACGTCATAGGAGTTTTGCTATTGAGTGAATAGGCGTAGGCTCGAGTATAAACGAACTATGATTTCATTAAAGAATGGATCTCGTCACTTATTTCGGTCAAGTTTTCACCCATTGGTCACTTAGTTAAGGCCCTTTCTTTAATGCCTTAATGAATGTGTCTGGACTGGATCATGTCTGTCTGGCACAGCCTAGAGCAAGGGGAGAAAGCAGGGGAAGACATTCTGCATAAGGGCAAGGGGCCCCTACAGAATTTGCCACCCCAGCTGGGAAGCACACAGATAAAGCGGAGAGGATAGGGAATTTCACACCAAGATCAATTAAATCCCCTAATGGCTTTTATGTCAGCCTGACACAAAATCCATTTGCAGGGGTGAGGGGAGTTAAGTGGTTTCAGCGAAAGACATTTTACTGTCTCTCACATCCCTTGTAGATCACTGGAAATGTAAGACTTATGTCAGGGGCCATGCAATATTTCTTTTTGGTGTGAAATGATATAAATGTGTAGTCTGGGGATATGAAGAATGGATGTATGGGGACAGTCAGGTGGCTAATTTCACTAAGAGCATAATATGCTGCCTTTTTCACTGCACATCAAAGGAGCACTGTAGGAAAAGGCTATGGGACTGCTGCACTGAACTGCCACGTCTTGTTCCATGTTAATGAAGCATTTCTGAAAAGCTTCTCACGCTTGTGTGAGAGGTGATAACTGTATGCAGCCCTAGAGTCTGTGTGAAATATAATATGTACGTGAACGTGTTAATGAGGTGTCTACCTCCAAAATAGCAAGGAAATCATTTTGGTTTTGGCTGGAGCACTGCTGCAATCTGTCTCTTTTAGCGTTGCTGACACTTGCACACTTCCAGGCTATAGAGCATCTTACAAAGGAAAGGAAATAGTGAGCAGCACCACGGTAGAGCTGCGGGATTTATTTAGTGCCTTTTCCAGAACTCGGGGTGGATGGCTTCTAGAAATCTGATTAAATAATGCTTTACACTGGAAGCGCTTTCTACAATTAATGTGTTTTGTGAACATTAACACACATCCCAGAGGAGACATTTGTCATCACCATTGACTTGAGGAACTAAAGCAGAAACGCAAGGTTTGTGTTGGAGGGGATTAAAACTTGCCATCTCCATGCTCAGTCAATACTAGACTTACTTCCCTCTTCTCTGTAATACCCCAGTCTCTTCCTCACTCTTGCTGACTTGGGTTAAATAGCAGGGTGTCTCCAGCTACTTCAGATGCCTACTTTGCATTTGTTTAAATTTTTTTTGTTCTGAATGTTGTACAAAGAGTAGCATGGCTTGTAAATGGGGCCTTTGCATATGTAAAGAATAGTTTTAGGATGAAAATAAAAGTGAAACCATTACTTGAAGAGACAGCTTTTTAAATCTCCTGGTTAATTTCCCTTCTTGAAAGGGAGAAGAGGGAGATGTATCCCATCACCTTGGCTTGTCAGAGTGCAAATCTTTGGTCTGGAAAAGAGGGAGATATAAAATAAAATAGTTCTCCAGTCTTCAGAAGACACGTGGAATTGGATCTATGACCGATGAAGCAGTGGCTTTGTCAGATGGACTCAGTCATCCTCCTCCTTCAGTACCTGATTTTGTTTAAGAGCTATAACAGTATGATTTTCCCTTTTTTTCCACCAGGATGGTTTACTTGTGCTGCACTATGGTCTTGTGGCATCTCCACAAGCCATAACGTAAAGCTGGCTAAAATATTGGAAGAAAGGATCAAAGGCGTGAAGCTTCCTCAGTGCTCTGTCTCACCAAAGAAGGTCATCTTGCTTGCTTCCTGTCACAGGAAATAAATGAACCACCACTAACTGCTGTACACTTGTAACTTGGTGTTTGACTTTACCACTGTAAAAATTGCAGCTGCTGTAAGTACAGCTCTAAACATTACAATGCTTGATATTACATACGACTGTCTTTAAACTGTAGCCAGCTCAGGGAATGGAAAACATTCAGAGTTGCTGAATTGATTTGTAAATGCTATTTAAACCAATGTGAGCACACAGGGTTAACTTCCTTTCTCTGCTCTGAACTTAATCTTGGGTAGGTCCGTGGCTGTTTTATATCTCCAACAGGACCTTGCATACCTCTGACATATATATGGCTGGAATGGTGCTCTCAGGGATGATTTTCACTTGACAGTGTCATTTTTCTCTGGAATAGAGAGATTATTTCTTTAAATCAAATGTGCAGGAGCCGTCTTGATCTAGAAATAACGGGAGAAGATTTTGTCAAATATGTAGACCAAAATGGGTAGTTAAACTCCACAGTCTTAAGCATTGATTTTTTTTCATATTTATTATACCAGTAGCATTAGAACATAGAATTTCATTTTCTTGGCAAGAAATTTGATCTGCACTAGAGCCCGAACTGGTAGTCGATAGACTCGTATTAACTACCATGTAGCCAGATGCTGAATGGTAGCACTCTTTTTTTTGCTTCCAGAAACATGGGCTGCCAGTAGGTTATTCTGTGCACATCAGAGACCAGTTGAGGGCCCTCTTTCCATCTGCATGCTCTCTGTAAAATAATTAGATGTGCAGCCTGCTTCTACTCACATCAAAGTCTAATAGCTGACTGGACTGGCAGCAGGGCTGAACCTTTCTTCCTATCACATCACCTTACACCTGCAGCCAAAATGACAGCTCTCTCGTTCTCTTCCAAGGGCTGCCTTGTAACAACTGCTCCTGCATTATAACGGAGACTATTTTGGAAGCTGCTGGGTGCTGTAATCAACTCCTATCTCTCCACTACTTGTAAAGCTGTACGAAGGGTATTAGGTAGCTTTAATTTTAATAGACTGTAGCTCATGATCATCGAATATTTCAAGGTTCTGTTTTTGTTGAAGACTCTCACCATTTCTTCTATAGGTATAAAGACCAGAGCTGTGCATGGTGTGGTTTCACTGCATGCGAGGCCTGTAAGTCTTTAAACAAATGCTTGTTTTGCCTGTGAAAGTATCCTATTAAGGAAAGATCTTGTTTACCTAAAATAATATTTTTTGATGCTTCTGAAAATGTAACAAAAAAATATTTTATAGCCAAGATTTCCAGTTTATTTTCAAGGTTTGTATAAAAGCAGTGCTGAAAATGGAGCAGAAAAGGGATGGTTTTGTAAACGTGTTGTGCATTGTGTTGATAAGAGAGTATATATTGTAACAGGTAAATAAAGTTTTATTTTGGCCTATTTGAAATGTTAGTTCTCGTGTCCTAAGAAATGCATATGTCAGCGCCATCTATCCTAACCTTACCCAGGAATTGCAGTGGGTGAGATTGAAAAGGTTACAGGATGCTTTTTACTTCATCAGAATACACCAAATTCAACAAGGAAAATAGTTGGTGGTATTTAAAAATCCCTGATTTGGGGTCCCCTGGAGGCTGCCATTTTTATGTGAATTCCAGTGAGATGTAGAGATGGGCATCTCATCTGTAGCCACCGCCTCTGAGGACAAGACTGTTCCTAGCCACTCTTTCATTGATGTGTGCATCCGCTCATCGGCCCTGGTGCTTGTTCCATTTCAGCCGTGTAATATGTTTCTTATCGAGCCCAGGATGGATCATATTTTTGCTTACAGTTCTGTCTCGCACCTATTGTCTCCCACCCCTTTGTTCCTCACTGCTACACATTGGCATTTTCACAGACCTGGATTTTGGCTTCTATTCTACCCTGGAGAGTGCACAATTCACCAGCAGGCTCTCACTATGCCTGAAGAAGGGAGTTTGTGCCCAAAAGCTTGCAAAGAACAATTTTTCCAACTTTTTAGTTCATCTAACAAAAGATGTCACAGCTACCCAAAGAACCATGTCTGCCTATGTCCTCAGACCGACACAGCTACAACCAATAACCCCCCTGCTTACAGTTTTGACCAGGGGTGCACCGGTAAAGATTTTTTTGGCTGATGCTGATGGCCAATTATTAACCAGCCATTTGGTTGATACCAATCCAATAGCCAATATGCAGCCTGGCAGCTTGGGGAGCAACGTCCAGCCAGTAAGCCTATGGGGGTGAAGGTGCATGGGAGTGGGGCAGATCGAGGCCCCCATGGTGAGGGAAGGAGTGGGGCTGGGGCTGGGGCAGGCACTGCCCACTGGGACAGGATGCAGGACGGAGCTGCGGGTGGCTCATCTGGGAGGCATGGCTCCCACCACTGTGTGCACCGTGGAGAGGCATGGGGGGAATGTGTCTGCTGGATTTGTGCACAGGGCGAGGGTGGGCTGCCTGCTGCAAGCAGGGGCTTCACTTGGGGCAGGCAGCAGCAGTGCTGGGAGGGGTGGCTATGAGCTAGGCTATGGCCACCCCAAAATTCCCCATAGCCACCCCTCCCAGCACCACCACCACCCACCCGCCCCAAGCGCAGCCCATGGCCCTCAGCCCACAGCGGGCAGCCTGCCCTTGCCCCACACACACATCTGAAAGACACATGCCCCTTATGCCTCCCCCAGGGTGTGTGCAGTGGCAGGAGCCATGCCCCACCCAGGCTCCCCATACGAGCCACCCACAGCTTCGTCCTCCGCCCCACCCTGGCTGGGCAGTACCTGCCCCAGCCCCACTCCCTCCCTCACC